ATGCTAGGCAAAGCTAACATAGCCGCACAGCTAGATCAAGGGTACAAGATCTCGGTGAAAAAGCACAATGAAGAAGTGGACAAGAATAGGCACGTCTTGTCTAAAATAATTGATTGTGTGAAATTTTGTGGGGGCTTTGACCTGGCTTTGCGTGGCCACGACGAGGCTGACACATCCGACAACCCCGGCGTTTTTCTGGGTTTAGTTAATCTACTGGCCTCGTTAGATAGCGTGTTGGAGGATCACCTTAAAACGGCTACGGTTTTCAAAGGCACCTCAAAGACGGTGCAAAATGAACTTTTGGACTGCATGTTATCAGTTTGTAAAGACTACATTCTGGAGGAAGTAAAAAATGCCAGTTATTTAGTTATTCAGGCGGATGAGACAACTGACATTTCCACCCACTGCCAGTTAGTGCTTGTGCTACGCTACATCGACCCGCATAACAACGTCCAGGAGCGTTTTTTTGAGTTCATTCCTCTTCAGAATGCGAATGCTGACACAGTTGCCACCGCGCTGATGGAGAGGCTGGGCACTATCCTCCCCGATGGACAACAGGGCAAACTAATCGCCCAAGCCTATGACGGTGCAGCGGTGATGAGGGGAGCTAAAGGTGGAGTTCAGCGGAAAGTGAAGGATGTGTACAGTAGTGCGCACTACATCCACTGCTATGCGCATCAGCTGAACCTAATTATGCAGCAGGCAACATCCCACATCCCCAAGATAAGAACATTTTTTTCAGACCTTGGTGGATTTGCTGCATTTTTCTCCAGGTCATTCAAGCGAACTGCGATCCTGGATCAAGTGGTGGCACACAGACTTCCTGGCACTTCCACAACAAGATGGAACTTTCACAGTCGTGCTGTTAACACTGTATATGAGCACAAGGAGAACATCCTGAGGTGTTTCCAGACGATCAGAGACTCAGGTGACTTTGATCCCATAACAGTGAGAGAAGCCGGGGGCTTTGTGCGAATGATGGAAGATGAAGTTTTTTGCTTTTTCCTGACATTGTTCCACAAGATCATGCCACATGTAGACATGCTGTTTAGCCAACTGCAGAAGAGGAACATCGACTCTGTCTACATCACAGGACTCATCAAGAGGTTCACCAGCAGCATACAAACAATCAGGTAAATCATTATTTACAATGGCTGAGATGTGCTTATTATAGGAAATCTGTGAAACCTAAATGTGATTTAGCTGAACACAATAGACCAACTCACACATACTTGTTTAAATATCTTAAACAGGCTTACTGGAAATGTATATATTATATAACGTTTATAAGGTGTATCTCTGACTACTATTTCAAATAGTCAAGTTAATTTGTCAATTCTTGCCACAATGAGTAATTGTACATGGTTACTTGTGGTTTGGATCAGGGACTCCATTCCTTCTGGTGAAAGCAGTGGATCTCAGCAGCTGCCCACAAAGAAACGGAGGGGACTTGGACATGAAGAGCAACAGCTGTTGGCTAGAGAGGTAAGCAGTAATAGGAACGTGTTCTATGACTAAAAGCTCCTTTCATAATATAGGTCATTTCATATCACAATAATGATACATTTCACAAGAAAGCCCATTTTCTGTAAATTAAATAAATAGGTAGGCTAGTTAAAATATCTACATGGAAAGGCCTATTGCTTATTACATTCTGAATTGTATACACTTAACAAGGCCTAAACTGCAAAAAGTGTCCCACAGTCTCTACATTTCAAAGGGGATCAAGACAGATCAGAAAAGGTTTAGGCTTCCAGAAGCAACCACAGTGGACAGAAAGGGCCCAACAATAAATGAATGAAGTGTAAACATAGTCATTAAATGTATATATTGTAGTGACTTAATTTTAAACAGTAATATTGTTCTGTTGACGCTCAGATAGATGTCCTGTTATTCTGATAGGTTCCATTCACAAGAAAGCTCTTTGTTTGTTACACATCTTATAGGGGACACTAATGACATTATGACTGATAGATGTGAAAAGGTGATTCTGTTATTTATTATGTCTTGATTTTTTCATTGTGCATTATTTCATAGGTATGTGATACCATACTGAGTCACGCAAAGGAGAGATTTTCCTTCACCAAACACCTCATCAGCTCCACCCTCCTGCAAGGAGACCTGTTCCAGCAGCACAGCCGAACATTCCCTGAAGCAGCGCTGGAAACAACTGTGGAGGCCTACCCTCTACTGGACAAGGCAAAGCTCAAGACGGAACTGTCCCTCGTCTATGACAATGACCAGTTCAGGGCTTGCAGTGGTGCTGTTACTCTGCTCCAGTTCTTCCTTGACAATAATCTGCAGGAGACATTTACAGAGACTGTCAGTCTTCTGAAGGTTCTTGTAACCATGGCTACGGCTGAGGCAGAGAGGTGCTTTTCCACTCTGAAAAGGATAAAGACTTTCTTGAGGAACAGCATGACACAGGATCGCCTGAATGCTCTGGCTATGCTGTCAATTGAGAAAAAACTCATTAGGAGCATTCCTGACTTCAACACCAGAGTCATTGAGAGGTTTGCCACTCAGAAGGAGAGAAGGGCAAAATTCCTCTACAAATAGACACACACACACACACACACACACACAAGCTCTCGCAGCAAACACAGATGGCCGACCCTTAAAAAAATGCGTTTCATTAGAGAGACAATTAATGTTAATGCATAATTAATGCAGAATGTTGTGAAGTTACTTTTGGATACCTAAGATGTTTTGTTCAACCACAAAGTCCAGGAACATGAGTACTGTTTGGAAACCTGTTGCGTTCGACTCATTTTCCCCAGAGGAACAGTTGTTTCTTGTTTCCTTTTGTCTTTTTTCTGCCTGTTGCACATTTTGTTATTCAAAGCAGTAAAAAAGGTGCTATAGGCCAATAAGCTGGATATCACTTTATATGTAGAGAGTAGGTTTCCCATGGTTGTTAGAAGTTTATTAATAAGTGGGCATTTATCACAGAAGTGATTGTTCTGTCTCCACGTTTGTTGCATTGTCTGTGATGTATTTTCCAACGGTTATAGCTCCTGTTCTGTCCCAGCAACACTACACGGTTTGCAGCTCCACCACATCTTTGGTTTATCTTCGGTGTCGCTTAAAATCTGCTTCCCATCGGACTAAAACCTCCACGTAATCTGAAGACAGATACTTGAAGTTATTTAAACCTTTTGTAAACTTTATGTTCTTTCTTGCTCTAGCCTTGCCAGTTACATTGTACATAACACATATATTATCATTATGCTAACTGGTTGTTCGTGTTAGACGATGTAGCTTTTTCATTTCTGAGTTATTGCTATATGTAAATAAACCTGTTTGTAAATAATCCTCAGAGAAACAAAGAAAAAACACAATTTATGACATTTTGTGCTGTGGTTATTTTTTTTAAATTGCATTTATTCACAGTTCAGTTTGAAATGCTGTAGTGACTTGTATTGAACCACTTAAATATTTATAATTAATGCTACTGAAAAGATGCTATTAATTTTATATCCCACATGCAGTTCACTGTAAAGCCACTTGGTGGAGGTGTTGGTTCATAAAACATGAACAGTTTTAAGAAAGAAAAATGCGGACCAGTTCTGAGAATACAAATTCCTGGTAAAGTATTAGATGTTCAGGTTGATAAATAATATTTTCCACACTGAAGATTATGGAGGTATTGATCAGTCTTCTCATATTTTTAAGCCTCGATTTCTCCTTTCCCCACCCCTCTAATGCCGCGTTTCCACTACACAGCCTCGCTCGGCCCCGCTCGGCCTCCTTTGGCCGCGCCCGGCCTCGTTAGGACCAGCTCACTTTGTGGCGCGTTTCCATTACAGTTTAGGAACCGGGTCAGTATCTATAGTAACAGTGTAGGCGGAGCGACGCTGCTTAAAACTGCCGTGACGTCATCTTCAATGCGACACAACAATGGAGATGTGAAAGCGATCGTTTGCTTGTTTTTTGCTGTGTGGTTTATTATCACAAGAAATAGACAAGTTGTTTCGAAAGAGGCGACGTATAGCAAGACGAGGTATAGAAGAAGCTGACGCGAGAGTTCGGGCAGTCCTCCTACGCCGCAGAGACTACAGGACGACTCGAATCACTACTAACTACAATGCTACTTGGTAAGCTAACGTTCGCTAACTAGCAATGTGTTTAGGCTCACTCTCCCTATACGACCAAAGTATTTCAAGTATTTAATTAATTGTAGCTACCACTTTTACGTATTAAAATATGTATGCTTTTGTTTGTGTATTTCAGAAGTTACCGACCGAGCTACCGAGTGGTGGAATGTGATTGTTCCATCTTTCACACACTCAGTGGGTGGAGAACTTCAGGATGCCTGAGGAAAACCTACGTGTAATACCTAAATATTCATTGTATTGTATTGAACATAAATACATCTTTTCTTTTTCACATACATGTGTTTGTCAAATTATTTAAACCAAAAAAATGTTATCAGAATTGACTATTTAGTAAATATTTGAATTTCAAGCACAAGTACTGCCCCCATAATAATAATCTAATAAATTAAGCAAATATCAAAGCAAACTATAAACATAAATACAAAAGTGTAAAACACAACAGAACTATATTCATAAATGCAAGTGTAAAAAATTGTTAACATGGATGGAGGCTAAAGTATCCACAGCATAAAATAATATGATTATGATGGTTTGTCTGAAAGACACAGCCTCAAGGTTCAAGGTTTTTTATTTTGTCATACGAACATAGCTAGTGTAGTTATGACAATGAACATCTTAGGTCACAGGCTCCTCCAACAGTGCAACACAATAACCCAGATCAACAGAAATATAGTGCAAGTAAATATTAAGCGCTGTGCACCGCTCTCTTTGTATAGGTGTTTTCTTTTGTTCTCTTCTCTTTGAAATATGTAAGCAATGTGTTTGAGTCTAGCACAACGAGGGTATTACAATTGAGTAATTTTTCTACATGTATTTATCATGTATTCTTAATACCATTATGTAATGTTATGTTTTAGAGGAGGACCTCAAGCTAGCAAACTC